TCTGTACTAATGGGCAGTTTTTAGAAGAGTAGAAAAAAAGTTGAAAACAAAAACCAATACAAACAGGTCGAAAATTAAAAAAAGGTAGTACGCTGCTCATTTCGTTTCCGCACCGTGCAAATAGAGATGTCTTCAAAAAGTAGCGACAAATCGATATAATTAGTACGGCAAAAGCTGACACTAAGCACGGATTACATACGGATTAACAGAAAAAACATTTTTGGCTTGCTAGCTGACAAAACGAGTTCAAACGGATCATATTTCTATATAGCTATGTACGAATAGTCTGAAATATCGTATGACCTTAATTATTAAGAGGAAGCAGACTGGGGAGGACAGGTAGCTATGCTTTATGGTGACCTCAGGAAAGTTACCCTTTATAATTTTGAGAGAATTTGATTGCAGAAGCATTTTTCTGTAAAAATAAAGAGTTTATGAATATATTAGAGCATACTTTTAAAATGTTTAACCTCAAAGAAAGAATATATAAAATGAAGAGAACTGGTACAGGTGCAACAGGCCTGAATGCTGGGGATTACGGGAGCCAAAATGAAAACAACATTAAAAGGCTATGGATGGCAATATCCGACGAATACATATTTAACCTTATAACCGTGGACTCATTTTATACAAGATGCGTTCCAAAGTAAAGAGGACTTAAAGAGAAACAGAACAAATGGTTTTTTCGGCAAAATCAATTAATTTTATTAAAATAGTAGTCTTCCGCTTCAATACAGCTTTTGGCTTATGGTCCAAAAGAAGCATGTCGAACGATTTCCTTTCATGTGAAAATACATTTTTCCGATTTTTCCGAAAAGGAAGAAGCCTCACGGTGCCAATTTGAAAACAAAATTGAATGTTGACACTTTGTTCGAAGCTCATTCTCGCACACAAACATACTGACACTTAAAACGCAATAACTTCACTTCCAATCTATAAAATGTCATGAAATTTTCACTGGACAAACGATAAAGATAGCAGATTCTAACGCATCAGTCTACATAGAGATGGCAGCACCAGGGTGAGCTAGATTCAAAAAGTCCTGTTTATTTTGGAACGCACCTTGTATATTGAATTTCTTGTGTTTGGGTGGATTAATTTGATATGCTTTAAACAGAGTGATAGACTATAATTTTGGGTAATAAGAAAGTAATGGCATTTTCTGTGCCTATAATATTGCTCCATATATTTTTTATGAAGAAGCGTTGGAAATGTGTAGACAATCATCGTCAATATGCATGGCGAACTTTGGATCCAAAAGCAATGCCTTCAAACCCAGTCTCCCAGTGGCTCTAATTGAAGAAATTGCTCTTGAGATGAATAGCAAAGCTAAAAAAGGTAATACAGGCAAATATGCATCAAATGGCTCCAAATTTTGAGATATTGACAAAGCACAAATGCAAAAGAACTATGCGCCTTTATTGCAATAATTTTTTACTCCGGTGTTGAAAATACTTAGGTGATGCCAAGGTTCCTTTTAACAAAACAAACATGCTGTTTTATACAGCGATGATGTCACTGCATCGGTTTGAGTATTTGGGCCGTTTTTTACGCTTTGAAGATTCCCGAACTCACACAGAGAGACTACGACACGACAAATTAGCGCGTATTCGACATGCATGGACATATTATTGGCGAATTTGATAAATCCATTCGTCCCAGATATATAGAATTGACAGTTGTTGAGCAGTTACTTTCAACAGATAACCGATGCAGTTATGTAATTATTCACTTTCCATCGAAATAAGTATATTTGGGTACAGAGTCCATCAGCTGGTTCTGCACGCAATCTCGTTATGCGACTTAGTAACATTTTTGTGATTTGACAGAAGATTTGCTTGAGTGGAATACTATCTTTTTGGACACAATAAGAGGCAATAAGTAGCAACCTTTTAGGTCAATATTGGCCTTTTTATGAAAAACTTTTTCAAAGTTTAAATTTTCATACTAAATAGCCTGATGGTTTTAGGCCATTGCAGTCGGACTTGGCAGCACTATTTAGTATTACTAAGGCTTTGTTAGTGAGTTTGAGCCAAATTGGTAAAGCGAATAAAATAGGAATATTTGAGGAATTTAACTCACTCACTTCCCCCACTAGTGAAGAATGTACCAATGGGTCTGTGATCAATTGTTTCAACGGCGAAATCTACATATTCGGATCTAGATCAGAACTCTAGTAGGCCCTAGAGTATTCACCTCCTACAAAGGTTGTTGGAACACCTCAGCTGTTGGAACAGGATACAGGGTATACAAAAAAGTTACTTTTGGTTGGTTCCGCTAAATTACTGGATACGGTTTAATTTGGTTACCATCTGGGGCCTAATGATGGTTTAAGTAAATCCACCTGCTGTCTGACGCTCCTGTGCCTCCCTTTTCAAGCAATGCAGAGTTGACAAAAAAAAGTACTTAATAATGCATCTGGAGAATGCGAATGCCGCTACACAACAAAACAAAGCAGAAGACAAGAAAATAATACAAGTTAGGGTTAGTGTGCTGAAAATCATCAAAGCCGAGGCTTATAAAAAGTCTATGCAGAATCAGGTTTCCCTTTGGGAATTTATTACCACAAGACCCTATTTTAAAAGTGGTAATAAAGATTTGTAATAAAATACGTGAAACTGTATTTTCAGTCCGGGTCAAATTTGATCAAATTTAAAATTTTGACAGTCTGAAGAGGATATATTAACATACACAAAAGGACCCTATAAAGCATACCATATATGTACATACATATATGAACAATCAGCTGATCAGTCGATTATCCATTTCAGTCTGCATGTCGAGTTGTATATTTTTTGAGGTATCGATCTGACATTTTGTACACATCTTTTTCTTGCCAAGAAGCTGTTCATTTGTTTGAACCAACGATATCGGACCACTATTGTATATACCTGCCATACAAACTGATCCATCGAAATTATTATTATGGGATTTTTTTTTATTATTTTTAAGATATACGCACGAGACTTTACATGGAATATTACTCAAGACTATGCTACAACTTTCTAATAAATTGTTCAGATCAGACCACTATAACTCATCCCTATTATAGACAGTTAAAATTAGTATTTTAGTTAAAATTTAATAATTCTTATTAACAATTCGACCAAATTTTCATGAAAAAAGCAACAACTCATATCTTCTACAAATGCCAATAAGGAAATGTTATCCACTCGCGATTGTCAGCGTTAAACAAGCCACATAAATTGCATTATCGCCAATCAGCGATAGGTATAATTTAAATCATGTCACAGCGATGCGCATCTGATACATTAAAGCCAATCAGTTGATGGTGTTGCCGTGGTGGCTTTGCTGGCATCTTATCGATACATATTGGCTGATTGGCTGGCAATCAGAGCGGTGCATTGCAAGCAACTGCTTGTGATCAACGTCGCCTTAGTTAGATAAAGCGCATGACTTTATCAACTGTTGAGCGATAAAGCGATTAAAATGCGGGCAAAATACATGCATGCATACGCAAATGCATTTATTGCACAAATATCAGTATTTGTGTGCTGAAAGTGTTGCATTTATGTTAGCAGTTGGAGCTTTCCTGAGCTGATGAGATAAATGATAGCGATTAAACATTTTAATTATCAGTGGATTTCACGCAATTTCTGAGCTGCATGAACAAATATCGGAAACATAATTTTAATTATGTTTAAGTGCCGCCAACAGAATGCATTCAGAAGCATGACAGGAGTGAGTTTGAAAGCGCAAATGTGTGCTGATAGCACACTGCATGCTTATCCTTGCAAATACGATTATATATAATACATACATACATGTATGAAACTGATTGCAGCAGGGTTGCATTTTATAGCTGTTGTTGTTGTTATAAAATAAAATTCATTAGTTGCACATGCTTTATAATAGTTTTACTGACCAAGTCCGATCACTTTGCAACGTGCATTTGTATGTGTGTGTGCTGTAAATGTCATCTGTGCGATGGCTGATGTTAAGGTCTTTATTAATGCACAAATGTTGCAAATTCGTTGCCAATCGCTTTATTTTTTGTTGTTGTTGCATTTACACAAATGCTACATGATTTTGCAATTCCACTTAATGTATTTGTATGTTGTATGAAATGACAATAAGCACTTGACAGCGTGGCACTAAAAATATATGTATGCATTAGGGTGGGCCAAATAAAATATTTTGGTTCCTAAGGAGTTTGTTTTTCAAATATCGATCTGATACTTTGCGCATGTTCTTTTCCTCTCACTAAGCTGCTAATTCGTGGGAATCGCTAATATCAGATCACTATAACATATGGCTGCTATACAAACTGATCTAACTAACTAATTTCAAGGAATAAATTTTTATTTATCTGCACAAAATTTGGCACAGATTATTTTCTAAGACTAAAAGACAATCTCCGAAGAAATTTTTTTAAATTTAACTATAAGATAAGTTTATCAATACAATAAATTTTTAAATAAAGTAAGCAAATATTCGCTTTTTTTATACAAATGAACCACCTGTTGTTAATATTATAAAATTAAAATTTATAATTTTTTTGTAACAATCGGACTATATTTTCACAGCATCTAAGGAAAAAAAACAATATTTTTTTGGCACACCCTAACGTACAAATAAATATATATATTCTTAATGCTTTTCATGGATATACCTTAAATAGAAAAATTAAAAACACACATACATAGCTATAGAAATTATTTAGAAAATTCTTCACACGTGTCCTTTCTAGCTCTCTCAAATGTGACGCATGCGCAACTTATGCAATTTCATTAACCTAAAAAATTTTGACAGTCACTCACTCATCCAACAAGTTAGCCATATGTACACAGTATATTCCTGCTGTTTGCAACGAATGCATTTTTTATGCAAATTTCTTTCGGTTACTTCATTTTCTTACACAAATAATATTGCACCGCTGTGCCTTAGAAATATTAGAAATATTAAAATTCTCAAAAATATCAGCTTTTCAAGAAAAAAGAAAAAAAAATAGGTATATAATAATGCATAATCCTACTCACCTATTTCCAGGTACTCAAGAGATTTGTTTCATTACGGCTTAAGTACTTTGTGGTTTTCTGTGAGCACTTAGCATTTTTCCATTCATTGTTGCAGCGTGTTGAACAGCATAGCTAATTTTTGGATTACGTCTTACACGCTTCCCTCATCTTTGCTGTTTCTTCAAGTATATTAAAAGCAAATATTTTTGGAACATAATTGCACTGTGGGTGGCAAAGTAGAAATTCATATAGTCATCATACAATATTATAATGAGTAGTTTTAGCAATGGATAGCTAATTTTAGCTGCATAAGATGCCTTTAAAATATGAATAAAGATTTTAAAAATACCTTTATTTATATACATTAAGATTCTATTCTAGAAGCCAGTGCAGGTTTTCTCCAAATTTTAAAATAATAATTAAATATATATTGATAA